CTACCTCACCCCATAGGAATTTATTTCTGTATAGAGAAATGTGTTCCATGGAAATTCTGATGCAGACTTTTGGGTGGGAACCATGTCTTAATTCTGTCCATTTCCCACAGCTTCTTTACAAACCATTTCTGTTTTTTTGAAGTCCCCCACCCCCATCCCATTAATCTCAACCAATGATTCTTAGGTGGGAAAACGAGGCTACTTGATGCATACTCACTTTTCTCTCCGTCAACTCAAAATTTCTTCTTGTCTCTACCCATTTCATCCTCCTGCCCTGCTTAATTTCTCCTTCTTTCCAAGGCTAACCTGGCCACCAGTGCTCATGGTCGAATCTGAGACTTAATACTTATCTTCCCTTTTGACTGTGTCTTTGGCCTCACTTTCCTGATGTCAAAATTCTCTTCATTCCAGAAACATCTCAAGTCTTGTCTGACTTAACGACTCTTCAGCTGGACCCTGCCTCCCATAAACCACCTTCCCATTCCTCCAATCACCTTCATCTTTCACATCCAAAGTTCAGAAAGGAGTGGTCTATAATCATGAATCCTTCCCCCTCCACTTTTCATTCATTCTCAACTCCCTGTAATCACTTCCAGGCTGACTCCCCCCCACCGCCCCCAAACTGCTCTCCCAATGTCACATCTGGCTTTCTGACTGCCCAGGCCAGTGGCCCCTTCTTAGTCTGTATCATTCTTGATCTCTCAGAAGCATCTGACAATTTTGAAAACCCCTTTCCTCTTCTTGTGGCGTTTGATACAAACATACCTCCTGATTTTTCCTTCTACTTCTCAGATGATACTTTCTTAGACTCCTTTGTTGGGCTTTCTCTTTTTCTTGTTCTGTTTTCCCTATCTGGCCGTTCTTGTGTCTTTCACTATAACCTCAACATAGATGACACTGAGAGATGTGTCCCCAAACCTGATTCTTCTGTGTTGTGATTCAAAGCTTTCCAACTGATCATTTCCAGTGGGTGCCCAGGCTCTTCTCCCACCCCATCTCCCTTCCATGATTCCTTTCTTTTTATAAAATTTAAATTCAATTAATTAACATATAGTATATTATCAGTTTCAGAGGTAGAGTTCAGTGATTCATAAGTCTTATATAATACCCAGTGCTCATTACGTTACACATCCCCTCTTAATGTCCATCACCCAGTCACCCCTTTCTTCCCGCTCCTCTCCCCTCCAGCAACCCTGTTTGTTTCCTATGATTAAGAGTCTCTTATGATTTATTTCCCTCTCTGATTTCATCTTGTTTTATTTTTTCCTCCCTTTCCCTATGATCCTGTTTGTTTCTTAAATTCCACATATGAGTGAGATCATATGATAATTGTCTTTCTCTGATTGACCTATTTTGCTTAGCCTAATACCCTCTAGTTCCATCAATGTCCTTGCAAATGGCAAGATTTCATTTGTTTCGATGGCTGAGTAACATTCCATTGTATATGTATATCATATCCATTCATCTGTCCATAGTTTGACTATTATGGACATTGCTGCTATAAACATAGGGGTGCAGGTGCCCCTTTGTATCACTATATTTATATCTTTAGGGTGAATACCCAGTGGTGCGATTGCTGGGTCGTAGGGTAGCTCTATTTTCAACTTTTTAAAAATTTTTTAAAATTTTTTAATAAACATATATTATTAGGTATATTATACCTAATAATACAGGGGTACAGCTCTGTGAATCACCAAGTTTACACACTTCACAGCACTCACCATAGCACATACCCTCCCCCATGTCGATAACCCCACCACCCTACCCTCCTCCCCCCAGCCACCCTCAGTTTGTTTTGTGAGATTAAGAGTCTCTTATGGTTTGTCTCCCTCCCGATCCCATCTTGTTTCATTTATTCTTTTCCTACCCATCAAAACCGCCTGCATTGCATCTCCACTTCCTCATATCAGGGAGATCATATGACAGATAGTTGTCTTTCTCCGACTGACTTATTTCACTAAGCATAATACCCTCTAGTTCCATCCATGTCATCGCAAATGGCAAGATTTCATTTCTTTTGATGGCTGCATAGTATTCCATTATATATATATACCACATCTTCTTTATCCATTCATCTGTTGATGGACATCTAGGTTCTTTCCATAGTTTGGCTATTGTGGACATTGCTGCTATAAACATTCGGGTGCACGTGCCCCTTCGGATCACTAAGTTTGTACCTTTAGGGTAAATACTCAGTAGTGCATTGCTGGGTCGTAAGGTAGCTCTATTTTCAACTTTTTGAGGAACCTCCATGATGTTTTCCAGAGTCCTTGCACCAGCCTGCATTCCCACCAACAGTGTAGGAGGGTTCCCCTTTTCCGCATCCTCGCCAGCATCTGTCATTTCCTAACTTGTTAATTTTAGCCATTCTGACTGCTGTGAGGCGGTATCTCATTGGAGTTTTGATTTGTATTTCCCTGATGCCAAGTGATGTGGAGCACTTTTTCATGTGTCTTTTGGCCATCTGGATGTCTTCTTTGCAAAAATGTTCATGTCTTCTGCCCATTTCTTGATTGGATTTTTTGTTCTTTGGGTGTTGAGTTTGATAAGTTCTTTATAGATTTTTGGATACTAGCCCTTTACTGATAAGACATTTGCAAATATCTTCTCCCATTCCATGACTCCTTTGAAGAAAAAATTTTTTTATGGTAAAATATACACGGCATGAAACTTACCACTTAAAAAAAACTTTCAAATGTACAGTTCAGTGACATTAAGTCCATTTACATCATGCTCCTCTATTCCCTTTTAATATCTATATAGTTGGGGTAAGGGAGGACCATTTCTTATTCATTACCTGTTTATTCGGGGGGCCTGCCCTACCTCTGTTATCACTGGCTGAGCCTGGTGCTGAGTGGTGAGGAGCATGAGCTCTGGAAGTCTGACCTTAGTTTAAGTCTCAGCGTTATGACTCTGGCTGGGACTGTCAGCCTCACGGGTCTCACTTTTCTCATCTTGTTATTCTCTCCTATTGTTGAGTACACAGTCTGCCAAAACAATGACAGCTTGGTTTATTTGTGAGCAAACGCCCTGCAAAGAACTTAACCTGCGGGAGCTAGTGCTGGAAGTTAAGAGAAAATGAAGTGTTTGAAGAAAGTGCTAGATCTTGGGGCGCCTGGGTGGCTCAGTCATTAAGCGTGTGCCTTCAGCTCGGGTCCTGATCCCAAGGTCCTGCTCTGCGGGAAGCCTGCTTCTCCTCCTCCCACTCCCCCTGCTTGTGTTCCCTCTCTTGCTGTGTCTTTCTCTGTCAAATAAATAAATAAAATCTTAAAATAAGAAAGAAAGGAAGGAAAGAAAGAAGGAAGAAAGTGATAGATCTTTGGCAGAAAATAGACTTTCTGGATAAATTGGAGTGGGATGTTGACTCGAGCATTGGCTTGGATTTATGACACAAATAACTCCACCTACACCCCTTATGAAAAGGAAGAGAAAACAATCATCAGTAAAGCTGTTTTGGTGATGACTTCAGTGTTCGGGCAGAGTAGTAATTGCTCATCAAATGGCAGGTAAAACCTCTGTGAAAGTTGAAAAAGCAATTTAGTTGAATTGCAAGAATTTGCCCAGGAAAGAGGTGATTTGGGGAAATTCGAAGTGCATACCTTTTAAAAAGCCTTTCAAGTCCTGCATTTAGAGAATCATCAAGGGTCTAAAGAGGTAGGATTGTTTTTGTTTCATTTCTTTCAGTGTTTATTATTTCATTTTATGGAGGAAAGTTTACTTGTGAGTGTGCTGAAGGTTAAGAGGTATTTTGTTTGTATTTAGCATTTATTTCCTTTTGGACTTGGTCTTATCCATCTCTCACATTCAGCCCAGGGCTGGTCACAAAAGATGCACTTTAGTACGGTTTAAAGGAATAGTGAAGTATGTTAGTGACCTGATTTTGCTTTTCCTTTCAGAGCCTGTGTAGAGAAGTAAAGACTCAGAGAGTTTCAGCCCAAAATGTCACAGGATAATGATAGAAACAGCTTGCCCTTTACAAAGCACCTTTATATATTTTATATCATTAATCACTGACGACATTCCATTTTTCAGATGAGGAAACTGAGGTTCAGAGTGGGTAGGCAAGTTGCCCGCATTTTCACTGATGATTTGTCAAGCCCCACCTAGCCCAGCGCCAGAGACTACAAACTCTCTGTTGTCTTTCTGAGCCGCATTTGGCCTACAGAGAGGTAGGTGGCCAGTGTTGAACTATATACCCTGGCCGCAGCCCACGTGACCTCTGAGCACCCTGTCATCTAAGGCATGTGGGTGAGGCAGCCCTTCCCTACTGGAAATGTCCCCACGTGGAGCCCAAGCATCTGGCATAAGCTAGAAGGCGGCCAGAACACTCGGCGGCCACAGCCCGCACGTCACAGCACGTGCTTGGGGCCCGCTTTCTGCCAGAGGCCCCTCTGCTGGCTGGCACTGGCGCCACCTTGCCCTGCTCAGACTCCAGAGAGCTCCCGTCCACCCCGGAGCCAGCCCTGCACCCCAGCCGCTCGCCCTGCGCCCGCGCCCCAGGTGCCCACCGCACGCGCGCTCCCCGTCGGCGCCTGGGGACCCCAACTCCCCCGCGGCGACAGCCCGGCGTCTCCTGGCCGCCTAGAGCCACTGGAGCGGGGGCGGTGGCCGCAGGTCCCCCGCACCCCAGGGGCGGAGCGAGGCGCCGAGACGTCAGGGCGGAGGACCAGCGCGGGGCGGGCGCGCCCTCCCGGCGGCTGCCCGTGGCCCACGTCCCCGACTGGCGCGGCGGGCCGCGGCCGGGAGCTGCAGTTAGCGGCGGCGCTGGGGCGCATCCAGGCGGCTGGGCGGGCGGGGGCCGGAGGCTGAGCCGGGGCGAGCCAGCCGAGCGCACAGCTCTACCCGCCACCGCCCCCACCCCAAGCGGACCCCCGGCCGCCCCTCGGCTCTCCCCTGAGCTTCTAGCGCAGCCCCCCGAGGGTGACCATCCATTTCCTTAGGTTGACTACAACGTGTGTTTTGTTTTTCTTTTTCTCCCTCCCTGTGTGCCCTTCTCCAGGATGGCAGAGGCGGAGTTGCACAAGGAAAGGCTGCAAGCCATAGCAGTAAGTCCACTTTCATTTTATTTTCTTGCTCTATTGTCTGGGATGGAAGGGGACCCCGAGTGTCTCGGGGCCATCGACATTCCAGCACAGTAGCCGCCGGGCATGTGTTTGGGGAATAAAAATCCGTCAAGGCTCAGCTACGCGGCTTTTTCTTTTAGACGTCTGTGGATAGAAACCCCCAGGGCGCGCTTTGGGCTGGGGAATTGAATGTGGAAGACTGGCTTAGAAATAAGATGCTTGCTACTGGGCTTTGGGAAAAGACCAGACGCATGGGGGTGGGGGTGGGGCGATTCCTGGAATATCAAGTCACCCAGTGATCGGTTCTACTCTGACTGCATACACTGGAGAAGCAAGAAAACGGCAACCAGAACAGTGGCTGCCACCCTTCCTGAGGAAGCTCTTCTGTCTCCTAAGTGGGAAACCAGCAGTCAGCCCCTAGGCCAGCCCCGCGGTAAAACCTCCTCCCTGAAACCCGGGGTGTTCATTTTCCCTGTTCTCTCTGATACTGACAAGGACATTGGCACAAGCCTCCATCCTGGAGGTGGTCTGGGAACTACTTAGAGCATCTGGGTCCTGGGCATAATATTCCAAGAGAGCATCCTTCTTCCCTGGGGTGGACAATCTGAAACCTATTTTCAGCATACGGAGGAGCAACCAGTTTTGGCAAAGTTTACATGCACTTTCGGAAAAGTGTACCCTTGTGCATCTCGAGTGAAAAAAGAGAACTTTCTGGGACTGTGTAGATTTGAGCAATCTTGCCCCAGTGTTGCCAGCGATCCGCAGATGTGGTATTTTTACTGGAGCCACCGCAGCTGGATTGTATATCTCCTTTGCAGATGAGGGAATGATTACTGCTGCCGTATGAAATATTAACAATTAAAAGAGGTCTGTTCACATATTGACCTAAAAGAATCTCCAGATGTTCTTCTACCTAAGTACCCATTTTTTTTTTTTTTTTTTTTTGGTCCAAGAGTTCTCTGGAAACCCATATAAATCTGTCGGAGAAATCGTCTGTAATGTTTTGGAATCGAAGTCTATTAAAGTGTTTTCAAAATCTTTGGACAGATTCTTCATGGGGAAAATGCACACAGCCCCCCCCCTTTTTTTTTTTAAAGAATCATTTGATACGGTTCCCAGGGTACTGGGACCGTCTTTACCAACCTCTTCAAATTTTAAATGTCTTGGAGACTTGACCACTGAAGTGAGAGGGACATTTGTCGGCAGTGTTGAAATGCTATGGTTTGTTTTTTGTTTGTTTGTTTTTGGTCTATTGGGCAATCTTTGAACTTGGTCCTTCAGAACTCAGGAAGGCTGTTTTGTTGTTGTTTTTGTTGTTGTTGTTGTTTTCTCTTTTCCCTTTCCCTCTGTGCATGTATATTTGGATGGTTAATGAAGTTGTTTTACGGTTTCTAAAGCTAGTGGCAAGGCAGTGTGGCCAGTGTGTCATGTCAAACTTGATAAGAATGGAGATATTCACTTACTCGTGCCATGTAGCTGCTGGGTGTTTTATGTAAACTGAATAATGGGCGGCTTTAACCGCCCCGAAGTGGCCGCTCCAGAGGAGGGTCAGTGGCTCCTGGCCTGTGTGAGGGTTTCCAACAGTTGTCACATTTTCTGCCTTTGCATGAGCAGCTTTCCTGGATGCCTGAGAACAGCTGAGCCTTATGAAAGGACTTGCTCTCTGAACCGGGAGGCAGTAGCAGCTAACGCTGGGGCCACCCCTTTCCCAAGGGGCTTGGGTAATCCCGGGAGGGACCCGGTGGATTTTCAAGAAAGACTGCGCCAGTCTTTTCGGAATTCTCTTGAGTGTATGATAACATTTAAAGACAAATACTTGTGCCTGTTCAGTTGTGGAATTGAGTTCGTCCTGGACCCGGGAAGATGCTGATGATTCTCGTGACTGTATCAGCTTCAATTAACACATGTGTTGTCATTGGTTTGGATACACTAACTCTGTGTGTGTGTGTGTGTGTGTGTGTGTGTGTGTGTGTGTGTGTGAGGGACACAGGGAGAGACTTAAGAAATGAGAGAGGTCAGCGGGTCTTGGCGACCGAATCAGTATATAGTTCTATGCTGTGCTTTGGCCTAGGGCACACTCTCCAAACTTGGCAAATGCTCCCTCTCTCTTCCGCTTTCCTAGAGTTCTCAGGGGACCGTCAGGAGGAAGGTCCCAAGCCTTCCTCTAGAGCCTAGCACTCCTGCAGTATGTCAGGAAATTAGAAAGAGAATGAACACAAGTCCTTACCTCTTCACCAGCCTGGGCTCCTCCCTAAGCGGCGGAACAGAGAGACAAGGATTCTAGGCTGAGGGGTCCTGGGCAGTCTTTAGTCTGGACTGCTGTTCCTTCATCTGTACAGTGAGCTCATGCATTCTACCTCGTGGGCTTCTCGCAAGGTTTAGCTCTGAGACACGTGAAGTACCTGGCATGTGGTTGTCATTAGATGGTTTTGAGGCAGAGCCCCTGAGCCCCTGAACCCCCGGTTCCCGTCTGCAGCATCGCTGTGTCCTGAGAGGCATCGAGACAGGGCCTCTGGAGCACAGAGCCTGAACAGCTTTTTACATTTTCCCCTTTCATTCTGACAAAGGCCAGGGCTGTGTCCAGCATCAGTGCCTCCCGCTGCTTCAGACACAGGTCTATCACCCGAGGATTCCTCCATCTATTCGTTCCCCGGGTCCTCACGGCATACCTCCCCTGGAAGGCACTATCAACACCAAAACGTCAGTGTCCCCACGTTTCATCCTTCAGAGGAAAGATACTACCTTTTACATACTTACATCCTGAGAGGACAGATGTCCTGTGACCCATTTGCAACACGGTCATCTGGGATTCCTCCCCCACACCTGCTGGAATGAAATACTCAGAAACTGTGGTACTTTAAATGGAATCTTCCAGTTGAATCCAGAGCCTGATCAATGAGAAAAGATGGATCTCTCATCCTACCTCTTGCAAAAGAAGAGCAGGTCCATCTTTGGCAACTTTCTCTGCTCCCTTCCACCTGTGGGGACATTCCAAAGTGGTAGTATCAGGACAGAGCAGAATGCTTCTGTAGCAGAATAAATGTGAATAATAATTCCGGAGAGTAATAATACAATTGCCATTTATTGAGCATCATCTATTCAGCAAGGCACTGTGTGATCAGCTTTTTTTTTTTTTTTTAACCTTAAGTTTTTAATAATCTAAAGGAGAAGCACAAACAATTACCATGCAGTGCCAGGAGTACTTATGCAAATGAGCACTCACGTGAGCAGGTAAACCAGCCTCTAGGAGTTGCAGAACATTCCCCGGAGAGGAGGCATTGGAGCAAGTCCTGAAGACTGGGTCAAATCACATATAACATAATGACCTTCCTAATTATCAGAAGGCATTTATTGGTTTCTTGTTAGTTTATTACTTATTTGGAACACTTAATATGAGAAAGGAAAAGCCAAAAGCGTGAAGAGGTTCAGTCAGTAGCTAAAGGCACAAACTCAATAATGAGACTAAAGGGCATTTCAACACACATTATGTCATTTAATACTAACAAACTGATGAGGCAGGAAATGCTGTATTATCCGCATTTTGCAGAGAAAGGGCCCAACATGAACAGAGAGTGTCAAAGCCAGGATTTGAACCCACACTTCAGAGCACTGGAGCCCCTGTATTGACTCCGGTCCTGAACTGCTACTCCCAAGATGGTGGCAGCTTCTGCTTTTCCTGGGGGCACACTGTACAGGTGATTCCAACAGCCCCAGTGGGAGCCAACAAGGGAGAAGCAGACTGATTGAGTAGCACTGGGAAAGGCCAAGACAAACTAGGAGGCTCACCTCCTTCTGGCCTTCTTCCAAGCTGGGTTTCAGTGCATGGAAATATCTGATGTACTTTCTAACTGAATGAGTAACACTCTCTTGGGAGAGAAGCTATGGAGTCTCATTGGAAATCAGCCTCAGGAGAGGATGTTACGTCTGCATCCTTGAGGAAGACAGTCTTCCTTGGGCATGTGGGAAGATAAGCACATGTTGCAGAGGTCAGCATGTGCAATAGCCCACAGAGCCATGTGGACAAGGTCTCGGCCTCTACCAGGGACCAGCATGAGCCTGGTCACAAATATGGAAGGCCAACCCAACCTACACATGCTTTTTAGAGAATTTTTGTCATTTCATGAGAACCCACGCTGTGGAATAATGAAAACGATCTTTTGCATCTGTATGCTGATTTACAATGTACAGACACCTGCGTAGGTAACTTAATTCTGAGCTGTGTGGGGCATTATCTTCACTTTACCAGTGAGGATACAGAGATATCCAAGCTCACCCAGAGAGATGTGGAAGAGTTGTATTAAGCCCAATCTCTCCTGACTCCTAATCCCTTGTGTTAGCGACACATCTGGTTTGGAAGAGGTACCCTGATGAGTGTGGGAGCTCCTCAAGAGTCCTCCTGAGCTAGAGTCCTGGGGGCAGAAGGAGAGGGATGAGCTTATGGGTATGTGGGCCTGGAAGTGCCTCCGTGAAGTCTGCCCTTCTGGGGATCTCACTTTGGGCTCCCTGCCTCCGTCTTGAAACTCTCACACAGTTAATGGGTCTGGGGCTCCCACCTGATCCCATTCTCTGTCCTGAGAAGGCCTGGATGTGGGTGGACAGCTTAGGTTGGCTCCGTGTGCACTTGCCGAGAAACACTTTTGGCATTTCCTGGGATTCACATCTCAGTGTCTCTTCTTGCCTTGAGACGATAAGGCCTAGAATACCACCCGGGTTACGGTGTGGGACCAGGGGCCGGGGTGCCAATCAGCCTGCATTTGATCCAGGCCGCTTAGGTTGGTCTGCATAGCCTGGGCAGAAGTCCTGGCTGCCATTTACACGTGATCCAGCCCAGTCCAACTTCCCAAGTCAGGGACCCCTCAGAGCATTTAGAGATCCAAACCCCAAACCCTTCAGTAAAAACAACAATAACAACAACAACAAACCAAACCAAAACAAAAACCCCAATTCTTGCAGGGACCATCCCCGTACAGGTCCCTTGTACA